TACTACTACTACTACTACTACTACTACTACTACGGCTACTACTACTACGACCACTAATATTACGACTACACTTACTACGACTACTACTTCTTATTCTACTACTACTACTACTACTACTACTACTACTACTACTACTACGACTACGACTGCTACTACGACTGCTACTACGACTACGATTACGACTACTACTACTACTACTACTACTACTACTACTACTACTACTACTACTATGACTACTCCGAATACTGCCTCTACCACGACTACTGCTTCTACTACTACTACTACTACTACGACGACGACTAATACGACTACTACAAATACTACGACTACGACCACGACTACGACTACGACTACGACTACTACTACTACTACTACTACTACTACTACTACTACTACTACTACTACTACTACACCTACCACTACTACTACTACTACTACTACTACTACTACGAGGCTCACAACTCGTCACCATAGCCATCCTCCTCGCCCTCCCCTTCGGCGGTTTCAATGCCAACCTCCTTGTAGTCTATCTCCAGCGCAGCCAGATCCTCGCGGGCCTCTGAGAACCCCCCCTCCTCCATTCCATACCCTCGCCGACGTACCAGTGGACGAACGCGCGCTTGGAGTACATAAGGTCGAACGTGTGGTCGATGCGGGAGAACACCTCCGCGATGGCCGTGGAGTTGCTAATCACGCAGCACGCGCGCATCACCTTCGCCAAGTCACCGCCAGGGACCACGGTGGGCGGCTGGTAGTTGGTGCCGACCAACAAATAAGCACCCGCGCGCGGGCCGCGCCGCGGCCTCGGGTCGGCCCTCCGGGGGGGATCTCGCTGACGCAGTAGAAACCCCCGCTGCGTGCTGGATCTGTTACGGGGCGCCCATCCCGTAGAACCCCTTTTCTGGATTCTGTAGCAGTTCGGAGCAGGCCAGGAGTTGTAACAGCAAACCAGCGCGACGGTCCACACATGGGCATTCCTGTAGGCCGGAGCTTTATAAGGCGCTCCCACATGTAGGTCGGCTGGCCCACCCCCTGTCAGGCTGCGACCCGCGGGCCGGTTGGCATGTCTTTGGCCCCCCCGCCACTGCCTACGCGGTAGCACGAGCACCGAGAATCCCGAAGCTGGGAACACCCCAGGCACCTCGTCAGCACATGGCCCTGGTCAGCAGACAGCCCCTCGTGCGAGGTACTTCTCCAGCCCAGAGCCACGCCCGCCAGGGCCTCGTTAGCCGCGTCAACCACGTGCCGCTGGCGCCCTTCCACCCTGGAAGGTAGCCCGCGAAACCTCGGGCGAGCCGGAGGGGGCGGGAGAGGCTGCCACAGTGCGCCACAGCGCCGTGGGATCGTTCCCGCTCCCCGCCAGACTTTCGCCGGTAGGCGAGGTTGGACATTCGGCAGCAGCGTGGCAAGGACCGGGCACGCCAACCTCCGAGCCCCCCCCTGCCGGGCCGCGGCCGTTGCCGTAGCCGGGGAGCCCAATCCACAAACTGAACTGCGCGCTTCGTTCTGATTGCGGCTGCAGACGCGCCCACACCCTTAAGCAACGTCGCCTCGGCACACCACGCAGCACGCGGGGCAAGGGCTGAGAAAGTCGCGAGGGCCAGTCCTGGTGCACTTGAGCTATGCCGCCACGGGCAGAAGAGCCAAGGTCGGTCAGTAACCGCGCCATCGCGCACCAGCCGGGCCCCGCAGCAGCGCGGAGACCGGCCGACCAAAAGCAGCGACGTCGCGTGGAAGAAAAACAACAGGTACTGCAGGTAGGCCCCGGGGGGCCACGACGCCTCCGAAGAGGCCGGCACGGCAGGCCCCCGCCCCTCGCGAGGGGCCGCGCCGCCGCGGCCGACGGCCCACAGCATGGCTCAAAGAAATGATAAAAACAGCCACCCTCCGTGTTCACCGTCGCCACCCTCGTGACCAGACAGATAAAAAGGTTGCGCAGTTGATGGGGGGCCCAGCGCCAGCCGGCATCCAGGAAGACAATCCAACCAACCGGCTGTCGAAGATGGCGCTCTCGATCTCGCCGGAGATGGCGCGCGCGCTGAAGGAGAGGATCAGGCCCCATAGTACGCCCCACAGCACTACCAGCTCATGGTGCCACGCCTGACCAGGACACAGCCGTAGCAGAAGGACGAAGACACCACGATAAGGCAGAGAGGAGAAGATGCGAGGCTGTGCGTCGCCACTCGCACAGCGGGGCCCTGGCCGTGCGGGGTCACTACGCGTCCGCACGGCGCGCGCGCTTTCGGCCACCACCCCTGCCGGCGCCGTTGGCGCCGCCCTTGCCGCCGCCCTTGCCGCCTCGGAAGCGCTGCCACTCCGCGAGCGAGTCCACCAGCGGGCCGTCCTCCGAGCGCCGCGGCACCAGGCAGAGGCTCTTGGGCTTGGTGCCGCACGCCGCCGCCTGGTACAAGTCACGAACTGATGGTGAGCGTCTAGACCCAAGGGCGCTTGTCATCCTTGATCGGTTCCTTATGTTGGGCACGCAAGCGGAAGATCAGGCGGCCCATTCCCTCCATCGACGCGTCGGCCAGCGACGCCGTGGCCGCCCGGGCGGCCACCCACGCCTCCGGAGGCTGCCCCGCAGGAGGCTCTGCCTTGCATGCGTCCCGGAGGGCTACGATAATCCCGCGCCACACAAGCAGGCGCTGTGGCTGGCCACTCGGATGCGGCGCATTGGCGGCGTCGGGCTCGTTCGCCTTCCAAGTGTCGCGGATAGTCTGGATATCGTCCTTGACGGCCTGCTCGCACAACAAGAAGACCAGGTTGGCGTTGTCCTGGACGGCCTGCAAACTGCGGTCGTGGGAAATCCCCAGCCGGACAACAGCCTCCACCACCTCCTCGAGCGCGCGCAGCGGCGCGCGCTGGCCCCCCCCCGCAGGGGGGCCTGCGCCGGGGCCGCGGGCGCGGCCCCGAGAATGGCCAGCGCTGCCTCGGCCATCGGGGTGGCCAGTCGTCGCTGGTTGTCACGGGTCGAAAGCAAGAGCCAAAGGCTGATGGACATGAAGACGCACATGATGCAGTGCTGCGGGGCGACAGGGCCCTGGAAGCAACAACCGGGCACGCCGCGGCCCCGCCCTACAGCCGGTTTCGCCGACAGCCTCCCTTGCCGCTCCCCCTCGGTGCTCACGCCCCCCCCTCCTCCACCTCCTCGTCAATGATGACGTAGATGATGCAACGCAGGGTGACGCATGACGAAGTAGCTGACAAAGTAAATTGCGAAGCACATGATGCTGCCAATGAACGTGGTGATGTACGTGCTGTAAATGACGAAGTAAACGGCGAAGTATATGATGCTGCCAATGAACGTGGTGATGTACATAGCGTAGAACGTGAAGCAGCAGAAAATGCAGTGCTTCGCACCGACAAACCCACTCGCCCCCTGCGTTTCCAACAACATGTGGCGCGGCCGGCAGAAGCTCGCACTGAGGGGAAACGCACGCCACACATAGTACAGCGATCTGTCCACGTAGCCATCACCTACAGAGTATGCCCGCGCCTGCTCGGCCTCCACATGACCGCGCCAGACCTCATCAGGGGCCCAGCGGCAGACGTACCAGTGCGTCGGGCCCTTCTGCTTCGTCTCGCAGTACGGGCACCACCACCACTGCTCGCTACGGCGAGCGGATGCCGCCGAGGCCGGCCTCTTGGCAATCGTGGGTCGCGTGGTCTTGACTTCGCCAGCGGCTGGCAAACCCGTCCTCTTGGCCTGCTTGGTCCGGCGCTCTGAGATGAACTCCCCAGCAGGCGCACGCGGTCGGCGGGCAGCCGCGCGCGCGGGCCCTTCCCCCGAAGCCGGCGGCGCAGCTCTTCGCATGTCTTCTGATGATGGTCAAAGTTACGGTAGAAACGGCCACACCGATCGCACTGCACAGGCCCACGCTGCGCGGTCGTCTCCCTGGTGCACCCCCGCCGGTGGACGTAGATGCTCTTGCCGCTGTACTCGTTCGAGCACTTGGGGCACTTCAGAATGCCAGTCCGGAGGGTTCGCACGACTATCTCGAGCAGGGCAGTCACCTCCTCCGCCGGATTGTCTTTCGAGCGCCGCTCCGCCCAAGTATATTGGGCCGCTTCGTGGGCGATCTCCTTGCACACCTCGCGGCGCCACTGGGCTCCTCTGGCCCCCCTGGCAGCTGCAACGTCCTTCCAGGCGGTCGGCCAGTCGTCTTCTGGGACGTCGGTGCGCTTCATCACCCTCGCGATCCAACCGCAATATGCATCGGCCAAAATTGCGCCCCGCAGCCGCGGTGGAGGTCTGACTGCGACGCACATTGCAGGCAGAACCGGGAACCTGCGCCTCGACGCGCGTCGACGGATAACGGCCGACATGGCCCACATACCCAAGCTGCCGTCTTGCCGCGCATTCCTCTGGGGGCCGGAGCCCAGTGCGCAACCGCCTCGCCCCTCCATTTCCCTGATGCCGCCGGAGTCGGGGTCCCATGTAATGTAGCGCACAATGCGATTGAGGAAGATTGCGTAACGACGCAATTCTGCTTTCGAGAATGGCCGGACCTCGGCTCCATAGAACAAGCAGGTCACCACAGTAACTTCCACAATCGGACCCATCTGGCGCGCCGATATGGACAGCCGGGGCAACTGCGGTCGGACGCGCCCCCACAGCAAACCAGCCAGGCGAAGACGCCCATCTGTGTCTTTCCGCGCCCCGCCGCCCACGTCGAAGCACACGCCGAGAACTTGGCCCAGCCGGCGTAGCCGGCCGGCACCGCGTCGCCGTGGCGCCCCACGCGCATACGTTCCCACTTGTCAGGGTGCGCAGTCTCGCCGTACTCTGCAAGAGTGGCCGCGATGAGCGCCTCGTCGTCCGCGGCCCTCCGGAAGAGCGCGCAAGCGGACGCGTCGTCCGCAAAACCGATAATACGAAAGATGTAATCCAGAACAGCTTCATCGTCAGCGCGAGGACTTCGCGGGGGCGGAGCAGCCGCGCGGCGCGGCGCTGGCACCCCTGGGAGCCGAGACTGAAGAGCACGTAGAGCAGCATTGTGCACCACATTATATACTACACACCAGGTGGGACATCCTTCACGCAAGCCCCGGAAGAGACTGAGATTTGACGAGTCGCCCTGTTTGGTCCTCACCGCGCACAGCGTCGTGGAGCGCAGCCGGCGCAGCAATTCAATAACGTGTTCTGGCATGCCCTCGCGGGCGAGAACCGCCCAGCAGAGCTCCCTGCTGCGGTTCGGATATGCCTTTTTGATGTCGGCCAGGAGTAGGACGAGATAGTCATCGACCGCGGGGCCGAGCCGCCGTGCCGATTCCTCCAAACTCCAAGACCATCCGGGTGATCATGGCTGCATCCTGCGTAGACCGCCAGGTGCGGAAGCCGAACTGCTCGTTGACTAGGATGTCACGTCGCTCTGCCCAAGCAGCCAGGTGAAGGGCAAGAACACGCGCGAGGGTTCTGGACACGATAGACAGGAAGCAAATGCCCCGGTACTTGTCGAGATCACAGCGCGAGCCCTTACCCTTGCACAGGAGGTGGATCACGCCCTCGAGGACCGCCTCTTCCTGCCACGCGTCGTCCTGGAGATCCGACAGCCGCCAGACAAGCATGCGCACGAGCTGTCGGGCACGTTCTCATCCGCGTCGAATCATGTCACCCTCATGGTTTCGATGGCACGGTCGATTTCTTCCGCCCCTGGACGCGCGGCGATGGAATCATCGACAGGCCGCCGCGGCAACCGCCCCACCACAGCCGGGAGGTCATGCACTACATTGGGCTCGCCGCCAATCTTGCTGAAGTGATCTCGCGCCTCTTCCGGGGTGAGCGGGCCCGCCTCCTGGAACGAGAAGCCCTTCAGCCACGCACCGAGCTCCCGCAGGGGGCGGTGCATTTTGCCCGTGTCCCGCTGCGAGATGGCATGCTCAACCTCCTGGCACACATACTCAATGAGGGCAGCCTCGCATCGGCGTTCCTGTCGCTGCACCCGGGCACGAAGCTGTTCGCGCGCCGCTCGAAGGGCGGCATCCCTGGCGGGGTCGTCGCACAGACGGATCCCCCCCCATTTCTGCTCGAGCTCCTTTCGGCCTGCACGCTGCGTCTCTCGACGAGCGGCGAAGGCTGGCACCCCGGCCGCGGGGCTGCCGCGACCCAGCCCGCTCTCGCCAGCTTCTCGGCGGGTTTGCGCAATCGTCGCCAACGAAGGAGAAGCGGGAAGGCGGCCAGACTCAGCCTCCTCAGCGACACGGCGGGCAACCTCCGCAAGGTACTCGCCCCGCTTCTGCTGCGCACTCGTCGAAGGCCCGCGCGCGCGGTCAGTCCGCAAGCGGGCCGGCGCTGGCGGGGGCGACTTCTCGCCGAGACGGGCGCGGAAAGACGCCCATGGACGCCCCAGCAGATTCACGGTGACAGCCTTGCCGAGAAGGTCTGAAATACCAGCAGCAACCGTGGTCAGTCAAGCCATGCCATCTGGCGCACCCAGCGGGCAGGGCGGCGAGGAAGAAGTCGCCCTCGTATTTTCTATTCGAGCGAGGCCCCCGCCAAGTGCCACGTTTGCCTACCCGCGCATGAACGCGCGAATCCACATGATGCAGACGCCACGGGACGGCCCACTCCTGGAGTTGGCAAGGCCCCCCCACCCAATCCCAGCCAGCGGCATTTTTCCCAAAATGACTGTTCCGATCTCCACCGGCAAGCACGTGAACACCGGCGGGTAGACGCGCAAACCATTCATCTCCGTCCTCGAAAAAGGCTGCCCTATCAGCGGCATGTTGTTTGTAGGAGCAGAACCCGCGCCACAGTTGTACACGACCCCATGGATGCGAAGCGAAAGCACCAGCCAACGCCAGGACACTGGGGCCCAGGAGCGACGGGCCCCGGCAGCACGCCAAGCCTTCGCACACGCCTGATTCATGAGCCCGCCTGGCTGGCCATCACAATCACGACCTCTTCCACTACCATTACACGAACTTCATCGTACGGACAGTGCACGTCAGAGAGGAAGGCGAGGTCCCAATGGCCACGACGCGCCTGCAAGATGACCTCCTGGAGTTTGAACTTGTCATCCCACCTCCATGGGTCCAAATGCTGAACACTGAGGGCTGCAAGCTTGAATTCTTCATGAATTAAATGCTGATGAGCCTGTCGGTAAACCCAGCGCTGCTGCGCGTAGCGGTCATTCGCCAATTGTTTCACCTCAAACCCGTCGGCGTTAAAACGATGTGCACCGTAGGGCAGAGTGCGCGCGGCTGAGCCGCGCCCGGGCGCGCGACCCCTGAACACACCGCAGGCTCGCCCCACCATCGGGGGAGCGGCGAAAATGAAGCACTGTCTGCCGCCACACTCCAAGCTGTTGACGATGAAGCTGAATACCCCAAGAATGCAACGTCGCCCATGGGGGCCGCTGGCGGCAGCACCCCCCCCCCCATGATTTGCCACGGCGGGGGTCACACTTGACAAACATGGCCGAGGGTTCACACACGGACATGGTAAATCCCGCCACAGAGAGCTGCTCGTGGTAAGATCACCGGCGCGTAGCTCGAGAGCACGAAATGGCTGCGCGGGCATGGCACCAAGTTCGTCTGGAACTACGCGATGTCCACGTTGAGGGCGCCGTCAAAGCGCAGCGACGCCGTCAGCGAGGATATGATCTGGGCCAGAAGCCTGTTCAGGTTCGTGTAGGTGGGGCGCTCGATGTCGAGGTCCCGCCTGCAGATGTCGCGTAAAGCTTCATTGTCGTACATGATAGTGACGTCTGTGTGCTCCAGCAGCGAGTGCACGCACAGCGCAGCGCTGTAAGGCTCAACCAACGCCGTGGCGACCTGCGGGCACGCCCACACCGTGCACGAGACCTTGGTCTTCTTGCCGCAGTCCACCGACAGGCGCTCCAGCATAAGGCAGCCCAGCCCAGATCTGGTGCCTCCGCCCACGGCGTTGTAGATCATGAACCCTTGGAGCCCTGTGCAGATGTCGGCGAGCTTCCGAACGCGGACCAAGACCAAGTCGACGATCTCCTTGCCGATCGTGCAGTGGCCGCGCGCAAAATTATTGGCCGCATCCTCTATCCCGGAGATCAGCTGCTCAGGGTGGAACAGCTGACGGTACGTGCCGGCGCGGACCTCGTCCACAACGGTGGGCTCAAGGTCCACCATCACACAACGCGGAACGTGTTTGCCAGCACCCGTCTCCGAAATGAATGCGTTGAAGGCATTGTCGCCGCCCTCGATCGTCTTATCGGAGGGCATCTGCCCGTCAGGCTGGACGCCATGCTCGAGGCAGAAAAGTTGCGCGGGGCGCTCGAAGGCCAGAAACTGGCCGCCCAGGGCTAACTGCACAGTCCCCGGAGCCACCATACACGACGCCAATGCTGTACACAGCGAAAACCAACGAGGCGCATATGGCCTCGTAGAGGGCGCGCACACTCGACTGGCCACGCAAGCCAGCCTCCCGTGCATGGAATTACGGGCCGCTGCCCCACCACGCCCTCGACCCGCCCAGACCACAACCCGGCACAGGAACGCAGCGATATACACCCACATTGGCCACGCAAGTGTACAGACTGGAAATGCATACGAGAGCTCTTCAACAAAAGTTGAGCCAACAAAAGTTGGTGGGGGCCGACTGCCAACCTACGGATGCCGAAGTTCGCCACGCCACAACACAGCGCCACCGGAGCGCGCCGTCGCCACCGCATGACACGCCCTGACGTCCCTCCGCTAGAACGCCACAAGCGCGGCGTCTCATCATCAGTCGCTGCACACCGAAGCCCGCGCGATACACCTGCGCCCTCGATGAGGGAAATGAGCAACTGCAGGGGCAGGCGCTCAGATCGGAACTGCAGGGGCAGGCGTTCAGACAAGCTGTGCGGGGCGCTCGAAGGCAAGTGACTGGCCGCCCGTGCAGTCTCCACCTGAAGCGCAGCCATTGTAAGATGCCGATAATCCCAGGCGCGCACCACGTAGGCCCTTGATGGGTGGCACGCACACTGGGCGCTGAAGTGGCGAGCTTGGTTCGTGCTCCAAGTCGCTATCGCCGTAGCTCCTTCCAGGCACGCACCGACTTGGTTCACGGCTCAAGGCCGGTCGATGCGGATGGTTCACGCCTGGGGTGTGGCCGACCTCACGAGGGTCACAAGCCACAAGCCGCCACCTCAGCATATCAGCCGCCCACGCCGGCCAGCTCCTCCAAGCAGATCCTGCTGTGCATGCCGAAGTTCGCCGGGCGAGATGGGCAACCCACGTCCACGCCCGACACGCCCCCCAGAGGCTGCACATGGTCAAGCAAAATGCCCTACCACCTCTGGGCGAGCGCGGCGTCTGATCTTTAGTCGCTGCGCACGCCGGTAGCCACCGAAGCCGCATGCTGGCGCCCGCGCGATACACCTGCACCCTCGTTGAGTTCAGACAAGCTCCAAACAAGCGTTACCGATCTGAACGCCTGCCTGTCCGATGTGGATGCAGATCGCCTGACGCATGGTGCTGAGAAAGCTGTCTGGGCAGGTGGCGACTTACACGCAAGGCTGCAGAAACAGGCTGCCGCAGAATGTGGCGGTCTGTCGTGCAGCTGCTTGAACTAAGATGGACAAGGCCAACACAGCTCGCCTAATCCCACCTGCCCTTCGGGGCGGAGGTGGTTGAGTGCACTTCCTCTTCCAACCCAATGTTTAGCCCTTTGGGGGAGGATTTCTCGACTGTGATGGGAGAACGGGCGGGAATGAGCAAGGCCGTCCGTCTTGAGGGGGGTAGCTTGACCACTGCTCCTTATGATTATACACCTTCTCCCCCATCCGACTAGCGACAAACGCGGGACACTGACGGTCCCCCCCACTATCCCTCTCGAAAACCAATGCTGAATGCACGATGCTGCATTGGGTCAATTTCGGGAGGGGGCTCCTCCTCCTCCTCCTCCTCCTCCTCCTCCTCCTCCGCCTCCTCCTCCTCCTCCTCCTCCTCCTCCTCCTCCTCCTCCTCCTCCTCCTCCTCCCCCTCCTCTCCCCTCCTCCTCCTCCTCCTCCTCCTCCTCCTCCTCCTCTCCTCCTCCTCCTCCTCCTCCTCCGCCTCCTCCTCCTCCTCCCTCCCCCTCCCCCTCCACCTCCCCACCCCCTCCTCCTCCTCCTCCTCCTCCTCCTCCTCCTCTCCTCCTCCTCCTCCTCCTCCTCCTCCTCTCCCTCCTCCCCCTCCTCCTGACCAGCAGCAGCGTCAGCAGCATACCATCTCTCCCTCCTCCCTCCTCCTCCTCCTCTTCCTCCTCCTCTTCCTCTCCTCCTCCTCCTCCTCCTCCTCCCTGCTCCTGCTCCTGCTCCTCCTCCTCCTCCTCCTCCTCCTCCTCCTCCTCCTCCTCCTCCTCCTCCGCCACGTCCTCGTCCTCGTCCTCGTCCCTCCTCCTCCTCCTCCTCCTCCTCCTCTCTCCTCCTCCTCCTCCTCCTCCTCCTCCTCTCCTCATCATCATCATCACATCATCATCATATCATCATCATCATCATCCATCATCCTCATCATCATCTCATCATCATCATCATCATCATCATCATCATCATCATCATCATCATCATCATCATCATTCATCACATCATCATCATCAGCATCATCATCATCAGCATCAGCATCATCATCATCATCATCATCATCATCATCATCATCATCATCGTCATCATCATCATCATCAGCATCATCATCGTCAGCATCATCATCATCATCATCATCATCATCAGCATCAGCATCATCATCATCATCATCATCATCATCATCATCAGCATCATCATCCTCATCATCATCATCATCATCATCATCATCATCATCGTAATCGTCGTCATCATCATCATCGTCATCATCAGCATCATCATCATCAGCATCATCAGCATCATCAGCATCATCATCATCATCATCATCATCATCATCATCCTCATCCTCATCATCATCATCATCAGCATCAGCATCATCATCATCATCAGCAGCAGCAGCATCATCATCATCATCATCATCATCATCATCATCATCATCAGCAGCAGCAGCATCATCATCATCATCATCATCAGCAGCAGCAGCAGCATCGTCATCATCATCATCCCTCCTCTTCCTGTTCCTCCCTCAGCAGCTTCCTTCCTCTTCATATCCTTCCTCCCTCCTCTTCCTCTTCCTTCCTCCTCTTCCTCTTCCTCCTTCCTCCCGCACCATCAGCAGCTCCTCTTCCTCCCTCCTCATCCCTCCTCCTCCTCCTTCTCCTCGTCCTCCTCCTCCTCATCCGCCTCCGCCTCCGCCTCCGCCTCCTCCTCCGCCTCCGCCTCCTCCTCCTCCTCCTCCTCCTCCTCCTCCTCCTCCTCTCAAGCAGCGGGTCGAGGCTCCGTAGCATGTTGGCTTCCCGGCGAGCTCAGAGTCGTGTCCGACGCCGCAATGTAGCGCTTGGGTGGCACCGCGTCCTCACCTGATTCATTGGGTTGTCAATCGCGGCGGCGAAGTCGGACAAAGAGTTGAGCAGGGGCTCGGCATCTTTGTTTTATAATCTACGTGCGGGAGATAGGTTGAGTCAGGTCCATCTTGGGCTGGGTCTTCCCTGTCTTCGGCTGGTTTCTGAACCTGTGGCCCCTTCGTTTTCCCAACCATCCTGTGGTGTTGGATCCTTGTTTTGAAGAGACGGTCACCGCGTTCCTCCTCCCTCCTTCTTCCCTCCCCCTCCTCCCCCTCCCTCCTCCCTGCGTTTCACCCACCCAGTACAACGTTTTGTGGCCCCACAGGGAGCTCCACCGAAGCCCCCAGTGGAACCGCCCGAATGCGTCCAGAAAACCCAACTTGGCAACTTGGCACACCCCTCACACGTTTCGTGGCCTCATAGGGAGCTCCACCAAAGGCCCCAGTGCCACCACCCGCATGCGACCGAAAACCCAATTTGGCACACCCCTCACACGTTTCGTGGCCTCATAGGGAGCTCCACCAAAGGCCCCAGTGCCACCACCCGCATGCGTCCCGAAAACCCAATGTGGCACACCCCTCACACGTTTCGTGGCCCCACAGGGAGCTCCACCGAAGCCCCCAGTGGGACCACCCGCATGCGACCGAAAACCCAATTTGGCACACCACTCACACGTTTCGTGGCCTCATAGGGAGCTCCACCGAATGCCACAGTGCCACCGCCCGCGCGCGTCCCCCACCCATTTCGGCACACCCCTCACACGTTCCGTGGCTCCATAGGGAGCTCCACCGAAGGTCCCAATGCTACCGCCCGCATGCCACACACATTTCGGCACACCCCTCACACGTTTCGTGGCCCCATACAGAGCTCCACCGAAGGCGCCAGTCCCACCGCCCGCATGCGTCACCCACACCCATCTCGTCACACCCCTCCCACGGATCGTGGCCCCATAGGGAGCTCCAACGAAGCCCCCGGTGCCACCGCCCGCATGCGTCACCCGCGCACATTCCGGCACACCCCTCACGCGTTTCGTGGCCCATAGGGAGTTCCACCGACGGCGCCACTGGCTGCGTTCGCATGCGCCCACCGCACCCATTTCGGCACACCCCTCTCACACGTTTCGCGGCCACATAAGGAGCTCCACCGACGGCCCAGTGGCTGCGTTCGCATGCGCCCACCGCACCTGTTTCGGCACACCCCTCACACGCTTCGTGGCCTTCTAGGCAGCTCCTCCGAATGCGGTGCACACAACGACGGTATTCCCAACTGCTCTTCGGCAGGCTAATTTTTCCGCACGTGCTCACAAAGTTCTGTGGACTTCCGCAACAAGTACCTGGCTATTGTCCTGTCATTTTGTTTTCTGGCTCGGCTACTTCTCGTTCGAGTTCCGAGGGCGGCCCAAGGGTTTGACAAATTTCGCATCGCGAAGGGGTCCATTCCACTCCATTCCATTCCATCCCATCCCATTCCATTCCAATACATTCCATTCCATTCCATTCCATTCCATTCCATTCCATTCCATTCCATTCCATTCCTCCTCCTGCCGCGTGGCCAACCCTCCTCCGCCTCCTCCTCCTTCTCCGCCTCCTGCTCCTCCTTATCCTCCTCCTCCTCCTCCTCCTCCTCCTCCTCCTCCTCCTCCTCCTTCTCCTCCTCCTCCTCCTCCCCCTCCATCATCATCATCATCATCATCATCATCATCATCATCATCATCATCATCAGCAGCAGCAGCATCATCATCATCATCATCATCATCATCATCATCATCATCATCATCATCATCATCATCATCATCATCATCATCATCATCATCATCATCATCATCATCATCATCATCATCATCATCATCATCATCCTCATCATCATCATCATCATCACAGCAGCATCATCATCATCATCATCATCAGCATCATCATCATCATCATCATCATCATCATCATCAGCACATCATCATCAGCATCATCGTCATCATCATCATCATCATCGTCATCATCGTCATCATCGTCATCATCAGCATCATCATCATCAGCATCATCAGCAGCATCATCAGCATCATCAGCATCATCAGCATCAGCATCGGCATCCTCATCCTCATCCTCATCCTCATCCTTATCCTCATCCTGATCCTCATCCTCCTCATCATCAGCAGCAGCATCAGCATCAGCATCAGCATCAGCATCAGCATCAGCATCAGCATCAGCATCATCATCATCATCATCATCATCATCATCATCATCATCATCCGCATCAGCATCAGCATCATCATCAACAACAGCACCATCATCCTCCGCCATCAACAGCCACCATCATCAGCATCAGCATCAGCATCATCATCAGCCGCATCATCAGCAGCATCATCTGGATTATCAGCATCGTCAGCATTAACCGCATTAGCAGTAACAGCATCATCATAATCATCAGCAACATCAGCATCATCAACATCATCAGCATCACCATCACCATCACCATCAGCATCGTCGTCATCATCAGCATCCTCATCATCATCAGGATGGTCATCATCCGCAGCAGCAGTAGCCGCAGCATCATCATCATCTTCATCAGCCGCAGTATCACCAGCATCAGCATCATCATCAGAATCAGCATCATCGTCATCATCATCATCATAATCGTCATCGTCATCGTCATCGTCTTCAGTATAATCATCATCAGCAGGAGCAGCAGCAGCATCGTCATATTCATCATCAGCCATCATCATCATCATCATCATCATCATCATCACCACCACCACCACCAGTCTCCTCATCATCAGCAGCAGCAGAATCGACAGCAGCAACAGCAACAGCAACACCATCAGCATTAATATCACCATCATTCTCCTCGCTATCCTTGTCCTGGTTCCCTCATCGGGCCAGGTGTGGGAGCGCGGCCTTCTCGAGGAACTCCGAGCAGCTTGCCCTCGAGGTCGACATCTTCCACGTCTGGTCCAGCAAGGTGTTGCCCTCGCCCCGCCCGCCACCTCGTCTCCCTCCTCCTTCTCCTCCTCCTCCTCCTCTTACTCCTCCTCCTCCTCCTCCAGGAAAATTCCTGAGGCACCCATGATCGTAATCACGGACTGGCTCAGGCTGCGTCCACAGAAAGTACGCCACCGAACGAGCACGCGAGGATGGAGGAGGAAGCAGAGAGGGGGGAGGGGGAGAGGAAGGTTGGAGAAAGTAGGAGGGAGGGAGGAGGCAGCAGGCTGGACGGACGACGGACGACGGACGAAGACGACGGCGGCAACAAAACCACCGACGAAGTGACCGCCGACGCCGGGAGCTTGGCCAAGCCTGCCGTGTCTCCGAAGCATGCTTAACGGGCGCGCGCTGCGGGTCGGTCGGGTGCGCTTTTGTGGAGCTGGGCGGAGAGCGAGGGGGAGGAAGTGAGAAGGAGAAGGCCTTCTCAGAAGGTGGCGGGACTTCCGAGAAGGCCTCGCGCATTCTGGGGAATGCTCTGCGTATTCGGGGAAGGCCTCGAATGCTTCTCGGAAGGCCAGGTGGCTTCCGAGCCTTCCGAGAAGGCCCGTCCCCTCTCGCTTCCCCCCCGCGCTCGCCGCCAAGGCGTGCGCCGGCGGACCGTGTCAGCCTGCGCCCGCGACGGCGCGGGTGCTGTGTGCTCTCCTCGCCGCGTCGGTCCTCGGAGGCTCCTCCGTGAAGGGGCAGCGCGCCGCCGCCGCGGCCGAGGCCGCAAGACCGAGCTGAGCTTCTGACGCGGTGGGGGGTGGGGACAGCGGCAAGCCTCCCCATCACGATCAAGGAGGAAAACAGACAACGCGCCTGGTAAGGACGCGCGCATTCATCCAAGGTATGCAAGGTGTCCTCATGTCCTTGCCTCTGCGGTCCGTCCTGAACCGTTGTCGCTGGTCGCCCGCCAGTCAAAAAAAAAAATTCGACCTAAGGATCCTGCATCCTCTTACCACCCGTCCTGAATATGCGTTTTGACTGTACACGAGCGCAAATAATAAAATGTGAAGAGGCGAAGAAAGAAATTGAGGAGGCAGAATCTGCCCCACTAGATGGGGATACCGGCTGTTACATCCGGGTTTCGAGGGGAGTATCCCCAAATGAGATAGTGGGATGGATGGTACGAGCTGAGATTAGAAGAAATAAGGCGAAGAAAGAACGCCATGAATATTATTAACTTTTGGCGCACCGCGCGGATATCTTGGATCTGCGCTGGACCCCCCCCCTGGCGCGCGGAGCGCGCCAGGGACTGTGCCGGAGGCGCCGCCGCGGGGGGCCCAGCGCGGATCCAAGAAATCCGCGCGGAGCGCCAAAAGTTAATGCCTATGCCGTTTTTTTCTTCTTAGAAAGATACGTAAGAGCGCGCCCGTACGGAACTCCATACTAAAAGGGGGGACCCAGCTTCAAGCTACCCCCCCCTTCCTTCGAAAAGGGGAGGGGAGCTTCCGAAGCTACCCCCCCCCTCCCTCCCTTCTGTAAGGGTTTCTAAGCTAGGGGGGCCCTGGCTAAAGGGTGGGGGCTTCGAAACTGTCCCCCCCCTCCCTCCCTTTTCCGGAGCAGAAGGTGAGCCAGGGCTTCCCTTTCAAAGGTGGGGGGGGCTTCGGAAGCTACCCCCCCCCTCCTTCCTATTTGGTCTGGACACAGGGGGGGCGGCTTCAAGCTACCCCACCCCCCCCTCCTGTGCAAAGGAGGGGGGGTCCGAAGCTACCTCCCCCCCCTCCATTTCGGGGCTCTGGCAAAATGGCGGACCGCAGCGCTAGAGAACGAATTGGAGAGTAACGTCGACCTCTGGTTCGTTTTCTTGTTTTCTTGTTTTCTCGGCCCCTGGTTCGTAGTCTCGTTTTCTCGGGCCCTGATTCCTTGTATCGCTTTCTCATTTTCTTGGCCCCTGGTTCGTTTTCTTGTTTTCTCGTGTTTACGGCTCCTGGGTCGCGGTCTCGTTTTCTATGACCCTGGTTCGCGTTCTCGTTCTCTCGTTTTCTCGGCGCCTGGGTCGTGGTCCAGTTTTCTCGGACCCTGTTTCTTTTTTTCGTTTTCTCGGCCCCTGGGTCGTGGTTTTGTTTTCTCGGACGCTGGTTGTATTCTCGTTTTCTCGTTGGCTCGGCCCCTGGGTCGTGGTCTCGTTTTCTCCCTGCTTCGTTTTCTCGTTTCTTAGTTTTCTCGGCTCCTGGGTCGTGGTCTCGTTTTCTCGAACCAAGCGTTTTCTGGTGATCTCGGCCCCTGGGTCGTGGTTTCCTCGGACCCTGGTTCGTTTTCTCGTTTTCTCGTTTTCTCGGCCCCTGGGTCGTGGGTCGTTTTCGCGATTTCTCATTTCCTCGGCTCCTGGGTCGTGGTCTCGTTTTTTCGGGCCTGGTTCGTTTTCTCGTTTTCTAGGCCCCTGGGTCGTGGTCTCGTTTTCTCTGTTCCGGCTCGTTTTTTCGTTTTCTCGTTTTCTCGGCCCCTGGTTCGTAGTCTCGTTTTCTCGGGACCTGATTCCTTTTATCGTTCTCTCGTTTTCTCGGCCCCTGGGTCGTGGTCGTGTTTTCTCGGACCCTGGTTCGTTTTAGCGTTTTCTGTGCCCTTTGGTCGTGGTCTCGTTTGCTCGGACTTTGGTTTGTTTTCTCGTTTTCTCGTGTTTTCGGACCCTGGGTCGTGGTCTCGTTTTCTCGGACCCCGGTTCGTTGTTTTGTTTTCTCGTTTTCTCGGCTTTTGATTTGTTTTGTTTTTTCGGGCCCATGTTCGTGATCTCGTTTTCTTGATTTCTCGGCCACTGGGTCGTGGTGTCATTTTTCCTCGGACACTTGTTCGTTTTCTCGTTTTCTCGTGTTCTCGGCCCCTGTGTCGTGGTCTCGTTTTCTCTGACCCTGGTTCGTTTTTTGTTTTCTCGGCCCCTGGTTCGTTTTCTCGGTTTCTCGGACCCTGGTTCGATTTCTCGTGTTCTCCGTTTCTCGGCCCCCGGATTGTGGTTTTGTTTCTCTGACCCAGGTTCGCTTCCTCGTTTTCTCGTTTTCTCGGCCCCTGGGTCGTGGTCACGTGTTCTCGGGCCCCGGTTCGATTTCTCGTTTTCTCGTTGTCTCGGCCCCTGGGTCGTGGTCTCGGTTTCTCTGGCCCCGGTTCGTTTTCTCGTTTTCTCGTTTTCTCGTTTTCTCGGCCCTTGGGTTGTGTTCTCGCTTTCTCGGGCCCTGGTTCGTTTTCTCGTTGTCTCGTTTTCTCGGCCCCTGGGTCGTGATTTCGTTTTCTCGGGCACTGGTTTGTTTTCTCGTTGTCTCGTTTTGTCGGCCCCTGGGTCGTGGTCTCGTTTTATCGGACCCTGGTTCGTTTTCTCGTTTTCTCCGTTTCTCGGCCCCTGGGTCGTGGTCCAGTTTTCTCGGACCCTGTTTTTTTATCGTTCTCACATTCTCTCTGCCCCTTGGTCGTGGTCTCGTTTTCTCGGACCCCGCTTCGTTGTTTCGTTTTCTTGTTTTCTTGGCTCCTGGGTCGTGGTCTCATTTTCTCGGGCCCTGGTTCGTTTTCTCGTTGTCTCTGCCCCTGGGACGTGGTTTCGTTTTCTCAGGCCATGGTTCGTTTTCTCGTTGTCTCGTTTTCTCTGCCCCTGGCTCGTGGTCTCGCTTTCTCTGACCCTGCTTCGTTTTCTCGTGTTCTCGGCCCCTGGGTCGTGGTCTCGTTTTCTCAGGCCCTGGTCCGTGTTCTCGGTTCTTGTTTTCTCGGCGCCTGGGTCGTGGTCAAGTTTTCTCGGACCCTGGTTAGTTTTCTCGTTTTCTTGTTTTCTCGGTCCCTGGGTCGTGGTTTCGTTTTCTCGGACGCTGGTTTGTTTTCTCGTTTTCTCGTGTTTTCGGCCCCTGGGTCGTGGTCTCGTTTTCTCGGAACCTGATTCCTTTTTATCGTTTTCTTGTTTTCTCGGCCACTGGGTCGTGGTGTCATTTTTCCTCGGGCCCTGGTTCGTTTTCTCGTTGTCTCGTTTTCTCGGCCCCTGGTTCGTAGTCCCGTTTGCGTGGACCTTGGTTTGTTTATCGTTTTCTCGTGTTCTCGGCCCCTGGGGGTTTATCGTGTTCTCTCGGACCCTGGTTCATTGTCTCGTTTTCTCGGCCCCTGGGTTTTTGTTTCGTTTTCTCGGCCCCTGGGTCGTTTTTCCGTTTTCTCGTTTTCTCGCTTTCTCGGCCCTTGGGATGTGTTCTCGCCTTCTCGGGCCCTGGTTCGTTTTCTGGTTGTCTCGTTTTCTCGGCCCCGGGGTCGTGGTTTCGTTTTCTCGGGCACTGGTTTGTTTTGTCGTTGTCTCGTTTTGTCGGCCCCTAGGTCGTGGTCTCGTTTTATCGGACCCTGGTTCGTTTTCGCGTTTTCTCGGCCCCTGGGTCGTGGTTTTCGTTTTCTCAGACCCTGGTTCGCTTTTGTTGGACCCTGGTTCGTTTTCTCGTTTCTCGACCCCTGGGACGTGGTCTCGTTTTCTTGGACCCTGCTTCGTTTCCTCGTTTTCTCAGCCCCTGGGTCGTGGTCTCGTTTTCTCTGATCCTGGGTCGTCGTCGTCGTCGTCGTCGTCGGTCGTCGGTCGCGCGTCGTCCGTCTTCCGTCGTCCATCGCCGTCTTCGCATGACCTCGTCCTCGTCGTGACGACCACGACGAGGTCATGCGAAGACGGCGACAATGACGGCGACGGCGGCGACAACGACGACGAGGACGACGACGGCGTCGTACGAAAACGTCGAGCGACGGCGACGGCAACGACGACGGCGACGGGGGAGGATCGTCCGGCAGGGGGAGTTCAAGGGAGGGGGGTGGCAGCTTCCAGCAGGGGGGTTCAAAGGGGGGGGGGTAGCTAAGCCCCCCATCCCCTTTGGTAAGGGGGGGGGGGTAACTTCCGGAGCGGCAAAAGGGGGGGAGGGGGGGGAGTTCCCTGGGGGGCAAAAAAGGTGGGGAGGGGGGGAGCTTCCAGCAGGGGGGATCCCAGGAGAGGGGGGGGTAGCTAAGCCCCCCCTCCCCTTTGGAAAGGGGGGGGGGGGGGGAGCTTCCAGAGCGGCAAAAGGGGAGGAGGGAGGGGGGAGTTTCCGGGGGGGGCATCAGAAAGGGGGGGGGTAGCTTCCAGCAGGGGGGGCCAAGGGGCGGGGGTTAGCTAAGGAGGGACCCCCCCCCTTTGCGAGTTCTGCGCGCGCGCTCTCCCGGAGATACCATGGCTCGATGGGGAGGAGGAGGAGGAGGAGGAGGAGGAGGAGGAGGCGGAGGCGGAGGCGGAGGAGGCGGAGGATGGGGAAAAGTAAAAGATACAGACAGGAACAGAAGCAGGGGAGCGCGATCGAACTCGATTCTCGGGCAGGCTGCAGAGGCGCAGCGCCCACCAGCCGCGCGCCCCCCCACCCAGCGCCGCGTGTCCTCGCCCTCGGAGAGGCTCGGGTGCGAGAAGGCGCGGGACACACCGGGCGAGTGGGGCTCGGCACCCTCGCGGGGGGGGGGGGGGCGTGTCCTCCTGCTTTGTTCGTCTCTCCCCCTCTTCCCCTGGCCCCTGCTCCTGCTCCTCCTTCTCCTCCCGCTTGCGCCCTCGCCTCCGTCGTCCCTCCCGGCTCCTCTCCGCCGTCCCTCCCTCCTCTACAACTACACAACTCGAATACTATTCCCTACTCTTCTCTCTGCCTTGATGACGTCTGGAAGATGTTCGGCCCCCCTTCCGCGTATGTTTTCAACACAGAATTCCCGGAGAGTTGGGTCTTCGCTTGAGTAGTTTCCACATGTTGCTCCCTCTGACGCGCTGGCTTCAGTTTCGGGCCTCCGCTCGTTCCGAATCGTGTTCCCGCTGCAGCGCTGACCTCATATCCGCGCTTCCGCTGGTTCCGAATCATGCTCCCGCTGCAGCGCTGGCGTCATTTCCAGTGCCGTACCACAGCATGCAATGCAATGCTGTGTGGTGTTTCGCTGTGCGATGCCATGCCTTCAGCTGCAATGCTAGGATACGCAGTGCTTGACTACGCAGTACCACGCCATGCTATGCTATGCTACGCTTTGATATTAATCGCCATGCTATGTCATTGTCTGTTATGTGCCGCTGCGCGATGCCATTATGCACTTGCGCTGCAATACGCAGCGCCACACCATGTTATGGCATGTTACGTTATGCCGTGCTCTTCTGCGCCCTGATATGCCATGCTCTATGATGCATTGCGCACTCTCTCGGGATCATTGGCCTGTTCGACATCCGACTGTGCGAATAGAGAGGATACCTGCGCCATGGTAAGTGATGGGAGGGAGGGGTAGGACGTCAGATATGAGACGAGCGCACCTAGCTTGCCCCCTTCTCTTCCTCCTGCTCCTCCTCCTGCTCCTCCTCCTCCTCCTTCTCCCCCTCCTCCTTCTCCTCCTCCGCCGCCTCCTCCTCATCCGCCTCCTCCTCTTCCTGCTGCTGCTCCTCCTCCTCCTCCTCCGCCTCCTCCTTGTCATCCTCCTCCTCATCCGCCTCCTCCTCTTCCTCCTCCTCCTCCTCCTCTTCCTCCTACTCCTCTGCCTCCTCCTCCTCCTCCGCCTCCTCCTCCCTCCGCTCCTCCTCCTCCGCCTCCTCCGCCTCCTCCTCCCTCCTCCTCCTCCCTCCTCCTCTCCTCCTCCTCCTCCTCCCTCCTCCTCCTCCTCCTCCTCCTCCTCCTCCTCCTCCTCCTCCTCCTCCTCTTATTATTATTACGATTGTTATCACTAGTATGCTTATTATTCGTCGTCTTAGTATTATTATTGTAAGTATTCGTATTATTAGTACAACTATCTTTATTATTATTCGTCTGCTTACTATCAGTAGTATTCGCCTTCGTCGTTATTAGTGCTCGTGTTCGTCGTCGTATCATTATTGTTGTTCTTGAGATGCGTCTTACACGTCGTCTTCTTCTGATGTATATTAGTAGTCTTCATATTATTAGTATAGTACCAGTATGTCTTAGCATGTTGCTTCTTAGTCATAGTCTTCTTAATATGCTTATTATGGATACTATTAGTATTATTAGTATTCCTCCTCCTCCACCTCCTCCTCCTCCTACCCCCCCCCCTCCCCGTCTTCCTCCTCCTTCTCCCCCTCCTCCCCATGCTCCTTTTCCTCCTCCCTCTTGCTTTGCTGCTCGCGTGGCGGTCCTGCCCCTCCTCGTCCGCCCTCATGACCGAGGGCCGACGGGGGGCCACTATCTGCTGTCACCACGAGTCGCTGCCTGCTGCGTATATAGCCCCCCACAGGAGCACAGAATAGACCATACGTCGCGCGATGAATTCATGCTGAGCATCTCACGCAGACACGCACCAACGCTGAGAGCTCGGGCTGCCCATTGTCCCAAGTCTCTGGGACTTGGATGTGCACCATGGATACGTGTCTGCAGATGCCACCGCATGATCTATGGGTATGCGGGCCAATGCCACAAATTGAAATCGGCCACTCGTATCGCAGTCATGTTCGAACGGACTTTAGATTGTCAAGCGGGAGCGATGTATGGGACGTCGCAGCTTCAGCGCGTGCTGGCGCTGAGGGGATGGACCTGCGAGCCGATTTCACCGAGCACTGCGAGGAGCCGAGTTCGCGCGGGCCCCAACCCGGCCTCGCGGCCTACGATGTGGTGCGGAGGTCTGGTGGCCGACGTGCCCCTTGCAGGAGGTGCCCGAGGACCGCCGTCGCCCACGAGCTCTTCAGAAAGCTCTACGCTCTGCCGCGCCGCGCCGAGGCCTCGGCCCCAGACGCCCGCGCCGCGGGGCGAGGGAACGGCCAGACCCCCTCGGCCCTGGCGGTGCGGCGGGAAGCGGCGGCGGCTGCGTGTGGAGGCCGAGGCGGGAGCCCTCGGCGAGGCCAGCGGTGGCCAGCCCGACGGCTCGCGCGCCACGACCTCGGGCTCGGGAGGCACGGCCGAGCCCGGCGGCCCCCGCGGGCTCGGGCGCGCCCGACGAGACGGCCGTGAAGGGCCGCCTGCTGCGCTCCCTCCACGGCTCCCAGGCACTGCGCAGCAGTGCCAGGCCTCGGCCAGAGAAGTGCCAGGCGAGCACCGCGGCAGCGGCGAGGCCCGCAGGCAGGCCGAGGGCACAGCCCTGGCGGGGCGGAGGCGCGAGGCCAACAAGACCGTGCAAGGGCCTGCACCCGAAAGCGGGGAATGTGCTGCAGACAGGCAGACAGGGTCCCGCGCTGAAGGCACACGTGGAGGTGCAGCGGGTGGGCGCCGAAGCACCAGGACAAAATGGGCTGGCCGCTCAGAGGTTGAAGTCGTAGCTTGGGGAGCCCAGGGCAGAAAGACTGGGCTGCTGGGGTGCCGGACCCGGGAGCAGGAGTCGGAGGTGGCAGCCGGAGTCGGGAAGGTAGGAGCGTCGTTGCTCGGTGTGAGTCGGATGTCAACGGACCGCGTGGGGTGCTGCGGACGCTGCGCCGAAGCCCCATCAGAAATCCTACCCGATTGTGTTCCAGAGGTCTGTTGTGGCAACATCAAAAAGATCATTGACACTCATAAACCCATGACCGATATGCTTCTCTGCCTAGCTTCGGACATCGTCGATCCATCTGGTCTTCGGGCGTCCCGGCCTCCGCTTTGCATGATATGCCAGGTCATGCTGCGGCGTCCATTGGATCACCTGCCGGATCCATTATTGATCGCCTGTTGTGCTCAATTTGTTTTGGACCCACCTCCATTTTCGTTGTTTCACCTTGGAAACAACCCAATCTATGATTCCTAACCGCTCCATTGCGGCCTCTGCGTCGGGACTAGCACGCTTGATCTATTGTACCCATGGCTCCAGAGATTCTGGCGTTGTTTCGTCGTCGCGCGTCGGTGGTATGGTGGGCGTGCGGTCTGACGTCGTGCTATCCCCCTCGTCCGCGTTGTCGTCGTCGTGCTGGTGGCTGCTGTCGTGTCGGTTGTCGGTATTGGTCTGAGTCGGATGTGGCGCCGGCTGTGGGTTCGCAATTGTTGTAGTACGTCTCGGTACTCGTACGATCATGCGTAGCATCTGCCTTTGCACTCGTCGCAGTCGGTTTGCCAGTTCAGTCGTAAGGGTCCAAGCTTCGCAGCCGTACAGAATCGTCGGTGTGATGGTTCCGTTGAATAGTCGTAGGCGGTCAGAACGTAAATACGTTTTCCCCGTTAGCTCGCCCTTGAGTGCGTGGAACTTCCGCCATGCCATCGCGATGAAGTTTTCCAACTCTGTATCGTGGGGCGTGCTGTTTTGCAATGGCCGACCTAGACACTCCGTGCCGCAGTATGGCGGTAGCATTTCGATCTTCACGCCGAGCACGTGCACGTAATCTGGGGCGCGTTTCCCGCGTGGTGGCCGGTGGCCGTTGTGCATAATCTATGTGTTGTCGGGGTGTGATTCCAATGTGAGGCGAACAATGTGAAGGCTGGTACAGTCAACCCGCGGAGTAAGGATGCACGACAAGGATGCAAGGGCCTTGGAAAGCCCGCCGCAAGGGTACCCTAAGGGGCTGGCCAGCGAAAGCTGCCAGGGATGGACCGAAGAGGCAAGGATGCAAGGGTAACGGAGGACAAATTGCTCATCAATTCCACTCCGCGGGTTGACTGTATGCTCGTTCCGAGCTGCCCCCCTTCGCCCCTCAGTGCTGCACTGATTGGGCGCGCGCCGCGCCATGCAACGGTTTCTTCGCTGGGCGCGCGGCCGGCCCTGTTTACAAAAGATAAGCCCGAATATGCTCACGTGGCCAGGCAAGCACGTTCAAAACAGGGCTGATGGGCACACAGTCCGACGCAACGGCTCACCCAGGTCCCCTCCCACTACGGCGCACACATGTTGCCACTCATGTAACGACCCGCTGCGGCTGCTATCAAACCGACGAATCTGGCAGCCAGAACTATAGCCCTCTGACAGCGTCGGGAAATCCAGAGCTGGCTCTGACGGGGGCCTCCTCTGCGGCCTTGCCGCTGTCCGCTGTCCCCTCAGAGAACCGTACCGTTTCCCCTCCTCCTCCTGCTCCTCCTCCTCCTCCTCCTCCTCCTCCTCCTGCTCCTCCTCCTCCTCCTCCTCCTCCTCCTCCTCCTCCTCCTCCTCCTCCTCCTCCTCCTCCTCCTCCTCCTCCTCCCCTTCCCAGACAAGAAGCGCGCCGCCAGGCCTTCGCCTCCGCTGCAAGCCGCACGCAGGTCGCTGGGGCGCCACGGGCGGACATCCCTTTCCGCGCCGACGGGGGCGCTCCTGACAGAGGATGGGGGAGCTGTGTTTTTGAGCCCGGCAGCTCCTCTCCACCAATACAGTGCGCAGGGGGGTGGCGGTGGGGGGCATCACCCTGCAAGGATGAAGGAGCAGCAAGACAGTCACAAGGCGGAAATCAGAGGAGCAGGAGGGCGAGGAGGATAAGGAGGGCGGTGAGAAGGGGAAGGGGGAGGAACAGGATGAGGAGGATGAGGAAGAAGAAGGCGAAGGAGAAGGAAGAAGTAGACGGGGCAGCAGGGGGGAGTTGCTGTATGGCGGGCGCCGCAGCGAGATCGCGTTTCCGAACAATCCAAGGTGTTACGAGTGGAAATGAATGAACCACGCGCGGCAGGCAGACATGAGTGTACCTTCGTACAGCGTAGCACTACCTATCACAGCGTTGCCTAGAAGACCACTGCTGGGCAGCTTTGAATAGCATCGACGAGCATGGCATGCCTAGGAATCGCGTTGCATGGAACGTTGTAGCATTACAAGGCGAATATTGGTTTTGCATGGTAGCGAAAAGCACGAATTAGTCTGTCATAGCTTAGTGGAACATTCACTAATACGGCATTGCATCGCATACCCGAGCATGGCATGGCACAACCTTGCATAGCAGAGCATGGCATTGCTCGGCTTGCAAAGGAGCATGGCGCCTGGGCCGAGGGGCGCAAGCCAGACAGCAATTATGTTCATGCCACATGTACGATGCCTTTATAGTCGGGGCGTTGGCGTTGACCTAAGGAACCCTAAATAAGGAACGGGGCCCTTCCTCCGATAAGTTGAGCTTCGATTTCCCATGGAAAATCTCAGGAAAACAAAAGGCAAGCTGCAGAACAATCAAGGAACACCGAGACCCTCCCCAACGAAAAGGGTTCCTTCTTCAGGGCCCCGACTGTATGCCAGCAGGCGCCAAACATCATGGAGGGGCATTGGTGAGAACAACTGCTGAAAGCCCGAGTATGTTCGCCAGGGTGGACCCACAACAGTGTGTTCTAGCATACGATGCGGTACAATGTATATGGTGCACTATCTCTATATGTGGTGCAAGTAGACTGTGTGTTATAGGCTATGTGGCGCAATCTACGCGATGCATCTACGTTGTGCAAACAATGTGGTGCGATCTATGTGGTGCAAACGATGTGACGCAAAACAAATGATGAGGCATACGTGGTGAACGCTACGTGTAATCGTGCTTGCACTGAAGGGATTCTAGCGAAGCTTGAAAGATTTGGCGAAAAATTCCGGCCAATTTCGGTGGGTGGCCAGGTTCCCAGGTTCCTGGTCCCCTGTTCCCGGTTCCCCAATTCCCGATTGCTAGTTCCGGGCCGATTTCGGTGGGCGGCGTGGTTCCCGGGCTTCCAGGTTCCCGGGTTCCCGGTCGATCTCCTTTTCGATATCCTTTTCGATCCCACGATCGAATTCACCATCGATCTCATGGTCGATATCACTATCCATCTCACTCAATCGATCACACTACCGACCTCATGATCGCTCTTACTATCGATATCACTATCGGTATCACTCTCGATCTCACGATGGATCTCACTCAATCAACCTCACTATCGGTCTCATTACCGATCTCAGTATCGACCTCTCTTTCGACCTCACGATCGATGTCACTATCGATCGCACTATCAATCGCACTATCGATCTTGCGATCGATACGGAGTGCGATCGATCGATTGTGCGAATATACAGATTTGCGGCAAATACCACCGCCGCGCCAGCAGAGCTATCTGGGTGCCAGCTGGTCGAACGGTGATGGCGATGACAAGGAAGACCCAATGCCGATGATGATGATAATGATGATGATGATAATGATGATGATTATAATGAGAATGAGCATGATGGTGTTGATGAACGGTGATGCTGAGGACTATGATCATTGGCAAAAAAGGCATAAGAAAAACGCCATCATATGCGGGACCTCTCGACCTCACTTCTGGGAGTTAATGCGGGCCGTCCTGGGCTTGTCCTGGGCTCCCGTGGAGCAATTAAGACTCAAATGGACCGTCTTGGGACCCTCTTCGCTGTGGGCTCGGTCTCTTCGGGCAGTCGCGGGACCGTGCTGAGGCCGTACTGGGCCGTCGACGGGCCCTCTGAGATCGTCTATCTTGGAGGCCTCTTGAGCCGTTTCGAACCGACGGATGCCCGAAAAGGCGAGAATGCCACAACCATTCTCAAACTTACAAGGAATAAGCATTCAGGGCGCCTCTTCGGGCCATACGGCGAAACTGCGGCCAGGCATGGTGCCTGCCAAATTTCAAGCCATCCACTGATTGCGGTTTTCTCAAAAGTTTATGTTAAGTAATCGATGTGGTACAACCCACGAGGTGCAATCTATGTGGTACAATAGAAGTGGTCCAAGCTATGTGGTGCACTATGTATGGCGCAAGCTACGTGGTGCAATCTTGTGTTCCACTATCAGCGCTTGCACTGAACGGGTTCTAGGGAAGTTGAAAAATGTGGCGATGGTTCCCAGCCGGTTTTGGCGGGCGGCCGGGTTCTCCTGGGTCCCCGTCCTAGGTTCCCCCGTTCCTGGTTGCTGGTTCCGGACCTATTTCGGTGGGCAATGGGATTTCCAGGGTGCAAGCTTCTGGTTCCGGGGTTCCCGAGTACCTGATCGATCTCACTATCGATCTCGTCATCAATCTCACCGCCCATCTCACTCAAACGATCTCACTATCGAGCTGACTATCGATCTCACTATCCGACCGATTGATAACACTATTGATCCTACGATCGATACACCATTGATCTCCCTATCGATCTCACAGTCGGTCTCACTATCGGTCTGACTATCGATCTCTGGATCAAAATAACGATCGTTCTCACTATCGATCTCACTATGGATGTCACTGACGAAGTCACTATGGATCTCATTATCGATGTCACTGTCGATCTCACTACAGATCGCACAAAAGATCGCACCACCGATCTCACGATCGATCTCACTATCGATTTCAATATCGATCTCACCATCGGCCTCACTATCGATCTCACGGACGATATCACTATCCATGTCACCCAATCGATATCACTATCAGTATCACTGTTGATCTCCCGATCGGTCTCACAGTCGATCTCACTATCTACGTCCAGAATTCGCTATCGATCTCTCGATCGAACACGCGAGCAATCGAAAGATCGATCTCAGTATCGATCTCACTCGATCGATCTCACTATCGACATCGCTCTCGATTTCACTATCGATCTCACAATGGAACTCACTAAATTACCATCACTGCCAATATCACGATCGATCTCACTATCGATCTCACTTGCGATCTCACGATCGATTTCGCTCTCAGTCTCACTATCGATCTCACAACTGAACTCACTCGATTGACCTCATTGCCAATGTCAAGATCGATGTCACTATCGATGCATCCCACTATCGATATCACTAACGATCTCACGATCGACCTCACTATCGCTAGCACAACACAGAGCATATAGCATAGCACGCGAAACCCCGCGCCACTGGACACCCCCGCGCCACGGGACACCACAGGAGAGAGAGATAGAGAGAGCCAAAAAAATGGGGGGAGAGAGAGATAGAGAGAGAGAGAGAAAAAACAAATAAAAAAGAAGAGAGCGAGAGAGAGGAACATAGAACAACTAGACAGACCTGCAACGTATGCTATACTGGTGCGGGAGGAAGGCCGACCGATGTACCTGCGAGAAGAACAGAAATCCACTGATTGGGGTTCACTCTGGTGTAGTTTAAGCAATATGTGTGGTGCAATCCGCGTGGTGATAACTTTGTGATGGTCGTCTATGCGGCGTAAGCTGTGTGGTGCAATACACGCGGTGCAATCTACCTGGTGCAATATATGTAACGTAGTCTTCCGTATGTGGTCAATAGAGTAAGCAATTTGGGGGCAACCTGCGTGGTGAAAGCAAATGCGTGCAACCTATGTAGCGCAATCTCTGTAATGCAGTTCACCCTGCCGAACTTGAAGTTGTCAGCGCCACTGCTCGCGCAACCATCCCACCCACCCAACTGCAACTTGGTTAGCAAAACACGGTGCACTATCTCAGTGAAAAGAAACCGTTGTAGGGGCCTACGGAGAGGGAACTTGGCGGGAGGGAGTATTGCAATGTCGTTGATGAGTCTTGGATTTGCACTGGCCCTCCTCCTCATCCGCCTCCTCCTCCTCCTCATGCATCCTCCTCTTTCTTATCCGCCTCCTCCTCCTCCTCTTCCTCCTCCTCCTCCTCCCTCCTCCTCCTCCTCCTGCTCCTCCGCCTCCTCATTGTGTTCCTCCTTTTCCTCCTCCTCCTCCTCCTCCTCCTCCTCATCCTTCCTCCTCGTTCTCCTCCTCCTCCTCCTCCTCCTCCTCCTCTTCATCCTCCTGCCCCTCCTCCTTATCGCAAGCCACAAGCCACGCTGGCTCGAATGGCCCCCTGCAGCGCCGCCCGGCCTCCGTCCCAGACTGACTGTGGGATGGAGCGCAGCCCCCTGCCGCTCGAGGTTTTGGTGCTCCAGGCAACGTCGGGTTGAATTCGTTCGTATCCGCCTTCGTGTGCATGTCGACGGCGAGCGAGGGGGGGAAGTGAGAGAGAAGGTCTTCTCAAAAGCAGCGGGACTTGCGTCTTCGGGGACGGCTTAGAAAACGTCTCAGAAGGTCGGGGGACTTCCGAGACTTCTGAGAAGGCCTTCTCCTTCTCACTTCCCCCCTCGCTCGCCGCCGAGCATGGTGCTACTGCTCGCGTTCCCACTGGTTCTCCTTGTGTTCCTGGGGCTGCGTTTCCTGGTGGGCGGGCTGCGGGACGTGCCAGTATTGCGGTCATCGGCACCAGTGCGAAATTCAAGGCATTGTTTGTCGTCCTGGAGCGCGTCGGCATGGTGGGCGTTGGCGTCGCAGCGTACTTGGTGGCGCGCTTCGGCTTCGTCCTCGCATGTGTTTCCCGTCCTGCTACAGGTCGTCTACATTGTCGTTCAGTGCATCATGCCCGACCGTTGCGTCTGGCTGCGGGCATGGTGTGTGGTGAAGAATAGCCAGGCCCGCCCAACGACCCCTGCCTGTCAGCAGGGACCAGGAGGTGGATTCCTGTTTTTCAGGTGACGACAAACTTGTCCGCTTGAAGCCAGCGAAACAATTAGACAATTAGAAAACGGATCAGAGGTTATAGCCCAGAGGCCTACGACTGCAAGACCTCTAAGATGGAGAAACCCAGAAACCAAAATAGCAGCGGATACAAACAAAGCCATCCCCCTTATCAGCACACGCATGCAAAACTGGACACGCGTAGACGGTGGGCTCCTGTTTTCCAGCTGGCGACAAACTTGTCCTGGGTTCCGCTTGCCTCTCCCCCTCCTTCCCTCCCCCGCTCCACCCGCCCTCTCCCTCGCTGCTCTCCCCCTCCATCGCCCCTCCCTCCCTCCTCCCTCCTCCCTCCCCCGTCCCTCCCATCCCCTTCCCCTCCCCTCTCGCCCTCCTCTGTGTCAAGCCTCCCTCCCCGTTCCTTTCCCCCCCCCTTCCTCGGCCGCCTCCTTCTCCCGTCCTCCCTCCCTCCCTCCTTCTCCCTGCCTCACGCCCCCTCACCCTGCCTCCCTCTTTCTCTCCCTCCCTCCTTCTCTCTTTGCCTTCTCTCTCTCCTTCCCTCCATCTCTCCTGTTTCTTCCCTCCCTCCCCTCCCTCCCTCCCTCGATCCTTCTCTCCCTTCCTCCCTCTCCCTGCCCTCCCTCCCTCCCTCCTTCTCTCCCCAAGGAGGCGTTTGTAACCAAACGGCTCGTGAACGCCGCGCGCGCCTCCTTTCTTCCGTCCGCTCGCGCAGAGCTTTGAAAAAAACTGCACGTGTCCCGCGCGACAAAGGCAGAGGTCACAGGCGCCTTAAGGTGGTCCAGCATATGATCGGGGAGACGTAAGACCTGGGTACGGGGGACTCGGAAATCCCCGACGAGGTCGTCAAAAAAATGACGAGGCCGAGCCTGCATTTTGACGAGGCTTCCCGCTGCAGACATCCCACAAAACTCCTCCTCGTCAAAATCCGAATCGCGGTCGTCAAAAAACGATGGCGAACCCGAGTCCTGGCAAACCCGGGTCTTACGCTCCCCCGATATGAGAAGGCGATGTGGAATGGAGAGCGGGGGATGGGAGGAGGAAGGGGAGGATGAAGGAGCAACGACGAGGAGTAGGACGAGAGCTGAAGAAAGAAGGACGAGACGAAGAGGGCCTGCGGTCACACCTGGTTGTGCGACAGTGAGGAGTTGTCTTTAAGATACAGGAATGCGGGAGGAGGAGGAGGAGGAGGAGGAGTGTCGTTTTCACCACGTGGCTCCCGCCCCAGCGCCGCGCGCATTCGCCTCAAACACCTGCAGCCGCTTCAAGGATGGAGGCCGGTACGTCATCGAAATGCGGTTCTCGTTTCCGCGCCGCGCAGTCTCGTTCAGGATACTTGCAATATTATCGCAGAGGTAGGCCGATTTGAAGTTTAAATGCAGATCTCGCCATAGCGCCGCGCACATCCGCACGACCCATCCTTCACCACCCCACGCAAAACATCAGAGTGAGGGGGCCGAACGGTCATTCATTGTCCCTGGGCACGTGGCTGAAGTGAGGTTCCGCGGTGCGGATTGATCTTGTTGTTGTCGTCATCGTCGTTGTTGTTGCTACTGTTGCTGTTGTTGTTGATGTTGTTGTTGCTGTTGTTGTGTTGCGTTTGTTCGTGCTGCTGCTGTTGCTGTTGGCGGGTATCGAATGTTTGGGAAATACGTGCTGAGTGGCACGCGAGCACATCAAAGCGAACAGTCTAAATGGTGTTATTGTTCGTGTTATTGTAATTGGTATTGTTGTTGTTGGTGTTGTTGTCGCTGTTGTTGTTAATGTTGTTTTGTTTCTTGTAGCCGTCCCACCCGCGAACCGGCCAACGACCCACCCGCCCGCAACCCACCCCCGACCCACCCGGGACCCAACCACGACCCACCCCGCGACCCGCCCGCGACCCAACCCGCGACCCGCCCGCGACCCACCCCCCTACCCGCGACCCACTTGCGACCCAGCCCGCGACCCACCCGCGACCCACCCGCGACCCACCCGCGACCCACCTGCGACCCACCCCGCGACCCACCCCGCGACCCACCAACATTGCTTTGACGAAAAATCGGCGCCTGCGGCGGGCTCGTTCTGCGGCGGGCTTCTTCAAAGCCTCGCAGACTGCCGACGTCCCCGCTGCCCCCTCACTCTCATCCGCAACTGAGGGGTGCTACGGTATCATTCGGTGCACATCCGTCTGACCCAACCCTCACCATCCTAGTCCAAAAATGCACTTTTACTCATATCCACACGACCCAACCCTCACATTCCGATGCAATCAACTATTGTTCGGAACACACCGATACGCCCCAATCCCTACTGTGTTAAGCAAAGAACTGATTCAGTGCAAATCCATCTGACCCAACCTTCACAATCCTACGCAATATAGTTTATTCGACTGGGGTCCCTCCTCTGCTTCGCGCACATTCGAATACAAAGTCCATAACAGACACTCACTTGACACTTCCTCGAACAGCTGACACGGAGGGGGGGGCGCCTCCTCTGTCGAAAAGGGGCTCTCGCGTGCGACTTCCACGAGGCACAAGTCCACGCCTCGGACACCTTGCAACACTTGGACGGGACGAGGGCATATTCTTTTCAAAGTGAGGTCATCCCCAGGCCTCCTTGAAGGGCTTTCGCGTGGGAATTCCACGGAACATACGTCCACGACTTTAACACCCTGCATCGCTTGGACGGACGGAGGGCATGTGCTTCTCAAAGTGGGCCTAGCTTGTGGGTTCGTCAATTTGAGGGAAGACTCTTTACAACAGGCGCCCGCGACTGAGTGGCGCGCCGACTGGCAATTCGTCATTCAAAGAGGGGGCGCCAGCAGCGGGAAAGAAGTCTCGCGTGGACTTATGAGGGGGAGATGTGGGGCGGGAGGGTGTATTGCAGCATCGGTTGGTGCATCTTGCCTCCTCGGATCCTGGTGCATACGAGATCCTGGCGCATACACGTTTGGTTGCTTCCTTGGGACAACGGGAAAATGTAAATCACATCACCCCAACGTCGCCCCGGACCTTTAAAAATCCGGAGATTGAAACACAGCCCGCCACTGGTAATGTATATGCTCCAAATTCCGGCCATGCTTCACGTATTCCTCCGCCTGCTCCTCATCACCCTTCCTTATCGTCCGTCACCTTCCATAGCCAGCTTTGCTCAAGGAAAACTACGCGCTGGGAAGCCCTCGTGAGCGCGCGCGTTGCGTGGGCAGGCCGGCACGGTGGTAGACCTACGCGAAGTCGCGACGAAATGTCGCACTCGTGCCGACCCATCCGTGCTCGCGACCGCATGTGGCGGCCAACCGCTCCGAATCCCTCGCAAAAACTCTTTTGGTTGATCGCAATGGAGGTGAGGCAGAGAAGTGCTCGTTACGGATAATGTCTGTCTTGGAAAATTGCGCGCGGTGGTTCAGCGCCAACCCAAGAGTTACTGAGGCGTTACCGATACACTTCTGACCGCACACGCACACAAACACCCAAAACAAAAAACAACACACGCATGCACACACGCACACACGCACACACGCACGCACACACACACACACACACACTCACACACACACAACACAAACACACACGCCACCCGCACACGCACACACACACACACGCACACACACGCGCACACACGCGCACACACGCACACACACACACACACAGTCACACACACACACACACACGAACACACACGCGCACACACGCGCACACACGCACACACACGCACGCACGCACGCACGCACGCACGCACACACACACACACACACACACACACACTCACACACACACACACACGCACACACACGCGCACACACGCGCACACACGCACACACACACACACAGTCACACACACGCACACACACACACACACTCACACGCACGCACGCACACACACACACACACACACACACACACACACGCGCACACACGCACACACACACACGCGCACACACAAACACTTTGGGCGCCGCAGTCTCGCGCGAAACGACGAGGCGTAGAATGTCAAGAGGTGACAAAAAGCGGCGGTCGCGCACGGCTGGGACCTCAGAAATAGGGGCAGGGATCCGCCCGAAGGAATCAACCAGGCCATACTCATGCCCGGGCATGGGCAACGCGGGCCGGAGGGAACACGAGGGCGAACACACAAATGCACACAAACACACACACACACACTCTTCGGCCGTCGCGGGCGGGAGCCACTCCTCACCGTCAAACCGCGGGGCAAGTCGCGCGCGCACCCCGTAGCAGAAGAGAAGGAGAAGAGAAAGGACAGCGGCGGGCAAGGCGGAAAAGCAAGGCACCGGCCACATCGGCCCGACTTGCGACGTCAACGGGCCAACGAGACAAGGGAAAAGGGGGCCAAAAAAACTGTAACGACATGGATGTGTGCGGATAACGGAATACCAGGACGCAGGAACAGGACGGTGCAGCGGAACGCTGGCAACAAGATCGGCCTGCGGCGCCCAAAACGCCAGGTCAGGCCACTGGTGCAAGGGATGTGTGTACACGTGTAAACACAAGGAGAGGAGAGAGAGGAGAGGAGAGGGAGAAGCGAGGATGGAGGAGCGACAGCGGACAGCCGAGGGAGGAGGCGGACGCACGCGAGGGACACGGGCCGAGCGACGGGAGGGGCTAAGCCGCGAGGAAAGAAGCAGACATCACACACACACACACACAACAGGGGCAGGCAACGCACGAAAAGGAGAAAGTGCCAGCCGTGGGAGGAGGCGAGGAGGAGGAAGGAGGCAAAACACAAAGGCAGGGGGGAGAAAGGAGGGGCCACTGGGCGGAAAAGGATACAACACACAAAGACATGCACACCTCGCCTCGCCAGCATAGTCTAGAAGGTCCTACCCCATCAGCTTACTTCCTGTGCTTCGTGCTAGACTGCGGCAACTCGTTCCCACCATGTTTGTTTGGTGCCCGCGTATCTTGACTCACTCTCTCTCTCTCTCTCTCGCTGTCACTTTTTGTTTGTTTTCTCTCTCTCTCTCTTTTCTGCAGCACCTTTGTCTGGCTGCTCGTTTGAGCGTCGTTGGATTTGATGTGTCGACCCCACGCGTTCGGGCGCTGGGTGGTCCGCAAACAAGTAAACAAGCAAACGCTTGTCTGCTGTTCAGCGTACAGCATATCGGCTCAGCGGTGAGGGCGGCCGTAAGCCCAGGTGAGAGATCCCAACTCTCTCAGGGCAAGACAAAAAACATACAGTATTTTTGCGTCTTGATTTGCACTGTCGTCACACATCGGGTGGCCCTCCTGGGCCCGATGCTTCCCTAAGCCGCCGCTCGCTCCTGAAGTGCCGGTGGGCCCCAACACGGGGGGGGGGGGGGCGTCGGCACCAGGCGTCCACGCAGGCGTCCGCCCGCCCGCTCGCCGACCCTCCTGGGCAGGCTCGGAACACGATGCACACGCCGCATGAATACCAAATCAAAAACAAAAGCAAAAACCACCGCCAACAAAAAACAAAAAAGCAAAAACAAAATCAAAAACAAAAGCAAAAGCAAAAAAACACCACCACCACCACCCCAAAAAAAAACAGAAAACTGCACGAGAGCCCTGCGCTGGACACCCCGGCCGTGCATCACCGATGTCCGCACGGCGGTCGGCGCGGCAACCGGCGAGATGAGGTCGAGAGTCCAGGCTGCAGCGCGTAGGCACGGACCCAGCGCGCGACGACGGACGATGATGATGATGATGATGATGATGATGATGATGATGATGATGATGATGCTAATAATGCTGATGATGCTGATGATGCTGATGCTGATGCTGATGCTGATGATGATGCTGATGATGCTGATGCTGATGATGATGCTGATGATGATGAGATGGTGATGATGATAATGATAATGATAATGATAATGATAATGATAATGATAATGATAATGATAATGATAATGATAATGATAATGATAATGATGATGATAATGATAATGATAATGATGATGATAATGATAATGATAATGATAATGATAATGATAATGATAATGATACTGATGATGATGATGATGATGATGATGATGATGATGACAATGATGATAATGATGCTGCTGCTGATGATGTTGATGATGATGATGAGGATGAGGATGATGATGATGATCGGACTTGTTTTCGGACAGAGTTCTGGACAGGAGCGCCATTTCGAAATCGAACCCGGAAGGTTGAGCGCGCCCGTTGTGTTACAAAAGGGGGGATCGGGTTTTGAGTTACCGATAATTCCCTGTTTGAGCTTCCCTATAATTTCCCTGCAATTCCCTAATTCCAATAATTCCCCTTCAATTTTCCTATAATGTCCCTATAATTCCCGCCTGCTCCAACTAATGATTATGGGCGTCAGTCATACTCGGTCTTACATCGTTAGCCTACATTATTATATTACACGTAGAGGGGTAGGGCTACAGGAAAACCACACCCATGGACCTCAAAGGCCTACAGGAGCCCTGGGGAGCCACGGGAAGAGGCACGGGAGGAGGCACGGGAGGAGGCTCTCGGCGAGGCGCAACTGCAGGAGAGCAACCCGAGCTCCCCCACCCCTCGCCCCACATGATTTTCATTGCTGGGGATTACCGTCCAAAGGTTCGGGGATGACGGTCCAAAATTAACGGACCTCCCGGGGACCTCCCGGGGCCCTTCCCGGAAACTCTTCCCGATAATTTCCCGATAATTATACTGATTAAAACAATCACAAAGAATTACCGGGAAGGCCCCCACCTCCCGGAGCCCCACCTCCCGGGACCTCCCGGGAAACTTTTCCCTCTAATGACTGAGCGGTAACTCCCGTTAATTCGAGACCTCCCGGGATCTCCCAGAACCCGGAGATGGAGGGCGAATACGGAGATTCTCCTCCTCCTCCTCCTCCTCCTCCTCCTCATCCGTCTCCTCCTGAATGCGAAAGCACCCACTGGGGCCTTGGAGTCGAAAAGTAATAGATAAAGGGAATACAAGACAATGAACGGGAATACAAAACAATTAACGGGAATACATGACAAGACAATTAACGGGAAAACAAGAAATTAACGAAAAGACAAGACAATTAAAAAAAATACAAGACAATTAACGGGAAGAGTTAACGGGAAGAGAAGAATTAAAGGGAAGGGAATTAAAGGGAAATGAAATCAGCTCAAAACCCGATTCCCCCCTAGTAACACAACGGGCGCGCTCAACCGGAATGTTTCGAATTCTAGGTTGGAGGACGTCACATTGAACGGGGGCCCCACGGCCTAACGGGCCCCTTTGACGTCTCCTCCCCTGTCGCGGGCGCAACGTTGCAACGGGGGCCCCGTCGCCTTGCGGGAGGCGCTGCACTTTGGCGGAGCTGTCGCAGCGGCGAAATGCTGGGCCTAGCCACTGCACCATCAGGATATACGTCAGCCTTCTTAGACGAGCGCGTTCCACTGCTCGCCAAGTGGCTACTCGCAAGTGGCCTGGATCCGCCGCGGAGGATCTACGACAGATAACACCAGAGCGGACATGCGTTTTTCGGACGTTTGCGAGTAAGCACTTTGCGAGTAGTGGAACGCGCCCGGTGAATTCTGTCGAGCCACCTCTCAGGCCATGTGGCCCGCTCTCAGGGTCCGGCCCTGCCTCCAAAAACGCTTGGCGCGCGAGGTGCAATGCGGTCCTGGACGACATGCCATCGCCCGATGCCCATGCCTGTCCTCTCGGGCTTGGCGAAAGGGGGGAATAACAAAGGGGGGGTGTGAGAATCAGCTCACGTAGCTGATTTTCCCGGCGCCTCCCGGCGCCGGAGGCGGGCATGTATCGAGGAATGGGCCCCTCGGTGGGGCCGGAACCAGCTGCATGCAGCAAATTTCGTAACACCCCCTTTCCCCATCCCCCCATTTCGTCCAGCCCGGTCCTCTCGTTCCACTCCATCAGCCTGTGAGGGCCAACGCGGGCAGATCGAGCGCAGAGGAGGTTGCTTCGGCCGGTCAAGCTGACAGTTGAAAAAGGATGCATTCGACGATGCGTGAAAACAGAACATATTGTTTCGTCGGCAGCGACTTGTCTCCAAGAAGCGTTCAAGAAAGCACTGGGGCGCAGTGGCAGACTAAAGGGGCACAGAAGGCGAGTGCCGGGACGAGAGCGCGCGAGCGCGGGAAGTCAAGACAGACAAACGAAAGACCCAGTCCTGCACATCTTCCTTTAGCATACGAAATGGCCCACTCATCATTTAGTGCGAAGCGGCAGACAGAAATCGAGCGCAGCGACGCCATGCAGGATCTCCCTCTGGGACCGCAGGTAAAGCTCCCTATGGTACGAAATCTGCGAGAGGGGTACGCCGAATTAAACGAGAAGACCCCATCGGGACGCGCTCAAAGATAACAAATCACCCACGACCACCACCACCACTATAACAACCACCACCACACTCATAATCATGAGCAGCATCAGCGTCATCATTAGCATCAGCATCCTCATCCTCATCCTCATCCTCCTCCTCATCTTCCTCCTCCCCCTCCTCCTCCTCCTCCTCCTCCTCCTCATCATCATCATCATCATCATCACCATCACCATCACCATCACCATCACCACCACCACCATCATCATCAGCATCATCAGCATCACCACCACCACCATCATCAGCAGCAGCATCATCATCACCATCACCATCAGCATCACAATCATCATCACCATCACTAGTATCAGCATCATCACCATCATCAGCATCATCATCAGCATCATCACCACCATCTTCATCCTCATTCTCATCCTCATCATCCTCATTATCATCGTCGTCGTCAAAATCCGGACCTTCCTCAGTTGCATCTGCATCAAAATCCTCCTCCTCATCATCATCATCGCCATCACCTACACCATCACCATCATCATCATCATCATCATCATCATCATCATCAGCATCATCATCGCCATCATAATCATCATCATCATCATCATCATCATCATCATCATCATCATCATCAACAACATTACCATCACCATCAGCATCATCATATCGTCAGTAGTCTCATCACCATCATCATGACAGTCACCATTACCATCACCATCGCCATCATCGTCACCACAACCTCAACCATCATCGTCACCACCACAAGAACCACCACCACACTCATAACCATGAGCAGCATCAGCATCAGCATCAGCATCCTCATCCTCATCCTCATCCTCCTCCTCTTCCTCCTTCTCGTCATCATCATCATCCTCATCCTCATCCTCATCATCATCATCACCATCACCACCACCAGCACCACCACCACCATCATCATCATCATCATCATCAGCATCACCACCACCACCACCATCATCATCAGCATCATCACCATCATCACCATCATCATCACCATCATCATCACCATCATCAGCATCATCATCGTAATCAGCATCATCATCACCCTCAACCTCATCCTCATTATCATCCTATCCTCATCCTCATCCTCATCTTCATTCTCATCGTCATCATCGTCGTCGTCAAAACCCGGATCTTCATCAGTTGCATCTGCCTCATAATCCTCCTCCTCCTCCTCATCATCATCATCATCATCACCATCACCATCACCATCTTCATCAGAATAATCGTCATCATCAACATCAACATCATCATCAGCATCATCATATCGTCAGTAGACTCACCCCGACCATCATGACAGTCAGCATCACCATCACCATCGCCATCATCGTCACCACCACCTCAACCATCATCACAGTCATGACCATCATCACCAGCACAGGCACCATAATCATCTGCACATTCCTTATCAGTATCCCAATCACCATCGCAACCACCACCACCATCATCATCACCATCATCATCGTCGTCGTCGTCATCAGCATCAGCATCAGCATCAGCATCAGCATCAGCATCATCATCAGCATCATCATCAGCATCATCATCACTCAGCGGCGGCAGCGGCGGCAGCAGCATCATCCTCATCCTCATCATCAGCAGCATCCTCATCATCCTCATCATCGTCGTCATCATCATCATCATCATCATCATCGTCATCGTCATCATCATCACCATCATCGCCACCATCGCAGCAGCATCATCGTCAGCATCAGCATCATCCTCCTCATCAGCATCGTCAGAAGCAGCTCCATCCTCATCCTAATCAAACTTCCACAGTATCATCATCCCCATCATCATCACACTCATAATCAGCATCGACTTCATCACCAGAATCGTCACCATAACCACCACCACCACCACCATCATCAGCAGCAGCATCAGCATCATCATCATCAGCAGCATCATCATCGTTCAGCAAAGAGTAGAATCATCATCAGCAGCAGCAGCATCAGCATCAGCATCAGCACAATAATCAGTATCAGCATCATCATCAACATCATCATCAACATCATCAGCATCAGCATCGGCACCGGCATGGACATTGATATGGACATGGACGTGGGCATCGACATCATCATCAAGTTGTCCCCTCCTCCTGCTCCTCCTCACTTCGCCT